AATTAAGAGAGTGAAATATATTGTCTGTATAAGGAAAGGCATTAGTGGCCACTAGTGGCCATATCACCCTGCAACTCACAACTGGCAACCCACTGAAGCTCAGCAGGTGTGAGCCTGGTCAGTACCTGGATGGAAGACCTCCTGGGAAAAACTAAGGTTGCTGCTGGAAGAGGTGTTAGTTAGGTCCATGTGGGTCCTAATGCCCCAGTTTAGTGACAGGGACACTATACTGTAAACAGGCGCCGTCCTTCGGATGAGACCTAAAAACGAGGTCCTGACTCTCTGTGGTCATTAAAAATCCCAGGGTGTTTCTCGAAAAGAGTAGGGGTGTAACCCCGGTGTCCTGGCCAAAATTTCCAATTGGCCTTTACCAATCATGGCCTCCTAATAATCCCCCTCTATGAATTGGCTACATTACTCTGCTCTCCTCCCCACTGATAGCTGATGTGTGGTGAGCGTTCTGGCGCACTATGGCGCAGGTGGATGCTGCACATTGGTGGTGGTGGAGGGGAGTCCCCATTACCTGTAAAGCGCTTTGAGTGGAGTGTCCAGAAAAGCGCTATATAAGTGTAAGCAATTATTAAAATTATTATTATTATTATTATAATTATTAGAAAAGCAAGTGAGAAGAAGTAATCTTATCCAGTCTTTCCATAAAAGAAGCTATGGTATCGTTAGTTAGGTTCTTCCAGATTCCTGCAACCCTTCTTGTAAAAAAGACCACCTTAGTTCTCAGTTCTAAATTTATCTCCACTTTATGTCCAGTTACCATTATACCAAAGTGAAATAATGCTTTCAATTATTTCAAACTATTTTGTGAATTTGTGCTATGTGAATGGGTTATTCTCAAGGTAAGTTACGTTGTCACCTTGCCTACACTGTTCTTCAGTTAAATTTGTTACAACCACTCTATTTGTACTGAAATAGTTTATCTTCTTCAGTTACATCAAAACAGCTTATTAATGCACAGAAAAGAAAGTCCATTAAATAGCTTGTAGTTACAATACAAACTTCCTATACACTTTTGATAAAACAAAAAGTTTTCTTTAGATGCACAATATGATAAACTATAATACAATCAGTGGCTAAGTATGGTAAGATAAATGTCAAGATTAAGAAAACAATGATAAATGCACAGAATTACTGCAGACATTCAATGGAAAAACAGAGAAAAAATAAGATCTAAACATATTTACTCAACCTCCAATAAAAATGTATTTTCTTAAGCATCCCAGGAAATAATCAGATCCAACAATTTATGCAGGTTTAATTTAGGTAATGTTATGTATATTTATTAAGGAAATATGTTTCTACAAGTTCTGGGATATGGTATTTATCTACAATAAAAATCAACATCTGTGAAATCGATATCTTAACTAGATGTTTTTAAGAATGACAGTATTTTTTAAAGCCTCATAAGTTTTTGATTGGAAAAGATTTCAAAAACCAGAAATCCTATCAAGTAACAAGGCAAAAAGTCATGGTACAATACCCACATGATTTTCAAGCTCATTGCTAGGATTTAGCTAAAAGAACTTCTTTAGAAATGTCTTTAGCTCCTTAGACGGTATTTTACCTTCTAATAGTACATGGAGATGCAAACATTATGAGAAAAAGAAAATAGTACCGAAAAAAAATAATTACACACTTTAGAAAGAAACGATATTTCTGAAAAATACAGGTGATGGAAAACTTTCTACCAACCAGCTTATATTCAAGTATTATATTTTAGATACAATTAAATGCACACTCTATGACTGAGGAAATTCAGTTCACAAAAGCACCACTTTTCTGGCAAACAGTTTCATGGATTTTGATAGAATAATTATAATTATACTGTTTCAACTGCCAAGACATTCGAAATAGAGAGAAGGCCATACAGAAAACATTTATGTAGACGACACACTGCTCTTCTTACTACATGAATATCAGTCAATAATTGCAATGGTGATGAAATAAGCGCTCAACAAAATCATATGACTATACTGATTCATAAGCAAGAAAGACAAAAAATCCCTGTAAATATCATACATACTCAGTAATTACTCCACTACGCTGTATATGAGATTTAAGACTGCTGAAAACAAAGAAAAGGGAAGTATCCTTTAACTAGATTTTGTTGTAGTTGAATTCCCAGGTGATGCAAATTGTTCATGAAGAGAAAACAGGGTCGATTCTAAATATTTATTATAGAAAAACGTTTTGACTAGTTTATTGTCCATGTGATCACCATGAGCAAAAAAAATAGTTCATGTGAACTAATCTGCACAACAAAAAGAGGTCAAGATCTGGTGCCAACTGAAAGAGTTTAAAAATATTTCAAATATTCATTCTAGGAATCATCTTGTTTTTGAACTTCAATGCACAACAGCTTGTTCCCAGAGCTTTACATTATTCATTATTAACCACAGAAGATAACTGGTGTGGTACATAAACACATTAACTCATCTTTCCTTTAAAGTATGGAGCAACTGAGCATTGCAGAGATTTACAATGAAATCACGTAGGCAATTGAGATGGGAACTGCACAGACTGGGAAATAAGAATAGCAAATTGCTGTGCCGCCATCACAGAAAAGAAAATCCACTCTCCCACAGCTCTAATACTGTCAGAACTGCTTGAACATTCTGCAGTGCTGGTGTCTTGGCCACAATGTCCCTGACAAACACAAACACTGAAGTACACCTTGAAAACTTCAAAGGGGGACACTAAGCAGAGCTCATCATCCATGTTCCAAAGAGCATATGATTTAAAGGGACTTAATTTTCTTTCATTTTAAAATAATTGATGTTGCAGAAAATGTTGTTATTCAAAGGCTTTTTTGGGGGTATTTATTGCAACACAACTCACATAAGCCTATACCTTTGAATAAAAGTATTTATTTAGGTGTGACCATTCATGCTAATTGCGTAGATCTTCACATTGATTGCCTTCAAGCTTGTATATTCTACCATGTCTAATTTAACCAATTTGTTTCAGGAATCTAATAAAATTATCCCATAAAAATATATAATAGTGGACATTTCTACAGTGTTTTTCATTTTACTACATTGTCTCTAATTAATGTACACTGGGCATTACTACGCATTACGGTTTTGAAAGGCATGAAAATTAATGCTTAACTTCTCCAATAATTATTCTTGTATATGAATTCTGTAATATTAAAGAATTACATTAACTAATAAGACATTACATTCAGCCACTGAAATTAATTTGTATTATCGCTCTTAAGGGACTGTGGGTCCTTGTGTGCTGTCTATGTGGAGCTTGTATGTTCTCCCTAGGTCTGTAACCGGACACTCCACTTTCCTCCCAGAATCCAGAAACATAAGAGACTAAGTGGCATCTGGGAAAACTGACCCTGGTCTGAGTGTGTGTGTGTTTGTGTTTGCACCTGTTGCTTGCTGGGATAGACCCTGCCTCCATCACAACCCAGAACTGGAAGAAGTGGTTAGAAAATGGATGGATGGAAAGAACAGCTCTTAAGGGTCCAATATCATCAATTCAATAAAGACAATTTCTTATATTTCTACGAAGCTGTTGAAAGCATCACTAAAAGGTGCAGTCCAAGCTACTTATATGGAAAAACCCTGTTGATTGGTTTATCATATTACATACCGTATATATATATTTGGAAAATTGTTACCACTTTAATTAGTGGGTCTAAGAGTCTTTGTCTGCTGCTGAGCATATTCTGAAGAAAGACTGCAATTTTAACAATTCTGAAATCATTTTCTTTGATGTTCTTCTACATTGATTAGATTTCACTGATCTCATAGTCATCACTTGCAAAAAGTAAATTTACATCTAAGCCTTACCAGCTTCAATAGCTGTTTCAAGATTTCCACCCAGAGGTTAATATATTACAAATGGATAGAGAAAGAGTTTTAAAAAATGTGAAAGCTCTATACAACCTGTGAATAATTTCACAAAAGCAGGTATTTCCTCTTTGAAAATTATTTCAGTCTGATTTGGCTTATCTGCCTCACAATATCAATGTCTGTATACATTATATCCTAAAAATCCAATGAATATCCATAACACTTGTCTCAAAGTCAAACCCAAAACCAGAAAAAGATTAAGGTCAGCATGATCTTTTGATCCAGAAAAAAATACTTACAGTTAATTAAAACTACCAGTGTCATTATTCATTCTAATAAGAGTCTGTAAAGCATAGAATGCTATTTAGGAAGACACTGTGGATGGCGAACTATTTAAAAACAATATGTAAATTCTACATTGGTGAAAAATAATATTAAATGCTCTAGTAATAGATTTCTATTCAAATATTGAATAGTTTTAGATAATTTGAAAATACATTTTCAACGTTTCAAAAAATTGTACAATTGTCAATAACAAAAATGTTTTTTAACCTAAAGTTACTGAGTAACTCAAAACATGTGAGCTCTTCTATTATTTCAAAAGCTTAAAACTAAAGAAACATTTCCAAAAAAAAATTCTAATAATGTGTTTTTACCAGAATGAAGAAGACTTTTCAAAGTCCACATTCATAAGGCCAAGGTTGTTGTGACCAGTCGGCAGAGATTTGCAATTTTTGTTACAATATGAACAATTTGGCACTAGAGAACCTTGAATTGTGGGACAAACTTCTAAAGCTTATTAATGCACAGAAAAGAAAGTCCATTAAATAGCTTGTAGTTGCAATACATACTGAGCTTTATGGTGAAAAAGTAAAAAATCAATTTCTAAATACCAGTACCAACATACTCGCTTATTTAGTCATTCTGTATGAAATACAAAGTTGCAAATGCTAAAGTATACTAATCTGGTTTAAAACGTATTATATATGTGTGTGTATACATTTGTGTTGAGCTAATATTCAAACACCCAATGCTTCTTACAGATCAATATGTAGCACAAAATGTGGTTTATGTTACTGGAGTTTGAAAAACAAAACGTCTCTGGTCAACAATATTCTTAGCGAAATACCCATTCTTGTGTACAGTCTGTATTTTGTGTAAAAAAAGAGGACAACTTACGACAGTGCGAGAAGTCAGAGAAGTGCCATTGAGTTGTGTTTCTTTCACAGCTTTGCTTTCTGTGGTCAAGAGAAGGCTTTCTCTTTTACCTGTGCAACCTGTATGAGAGAGACAACAGTGTTACTAGGTGATTATAATACTTTCCCTCCCCGACCTCCAGAGAGGAATGAGAGAACAGAGTCACTGACAGTGTTGCGAATTGCCCTTCCATCCTGAGGCGGCAGAATTACTTATCTAACATCTGATGCGTGCCACCTGTCAAACAGATTATATAGGCAGCAAAGCTGTCTCTGAGCACCTCTGTGATAAAGGGAGAGTAAAGGAGAATATGCTAGTCTAGGCCAATTCTGGGCCTGGAAGAATCAGTGAAGAACAAATAACAAAACATAAAAATATTATTTTTCTGTAAAGAAATATTTTTGTTTTAACTTTAGAGATGGTTCATTTATATATTTCCACATTTTGTTAAAGAAAAACCAAGATAAACGTTAATATATACAACCCAGGGACAAATGACATTCCAACATTTCACCCCTTAACCACACTGTAATTTACATTAAAAAAGGTGATGAAGTTCACACCACTTCAGCAATCACTACTGAAACCATAAAATGTATGCAGGACCTCTGTAATGTGTGTAAAAGTTGGAGTTTGGGGATGAGGTTTTTCTTTTAAAGATGAAAGGGTTACATTATACATAAATACTGCCACCTAGCAGGAGAGATGGAAAAAGATAACCTCTTTTGATCAAATTCCTTAAAGAAAAGGAGTTTTCTGTAAAATAAGTAGTCTTCGAGGATAACTTGTAAGATATATCAACAAGATGTATTTATCAGAATTGTAAAGAAAATTAAAGATGTTTTACTGTTGTAAAGTGACAACAGTACATCTTCACGAGAAACATCAGGGGAGGAGTCAATTTCAGTATTTCAATTCTCACATCCCTCTTTAAAACCAGTTATTGTTTATGTTCATGGGACTGGATCTGGAAGTTGGTTTGTAAAGGGATTTGAAATTTAAAACTGGAAACTTTAACCCTGGAATGCCTAACATAAATTAAAGTACTTTAATATTAAAATATGCATTATTATCATGACACAACATTCGGACAATTTTTGAAACAAAGAAAAATATACAATTTAGGCTTATATATTTTCTCATATATACACTCCATTGATGAACATAATAAAATAGTTGCAGATATATGGAGCCAATCTAAAAGAGGAATGGTTAGTTTCACATATAGACATTCTTGGTTAAATGTTTCCAGGCTTGCAAGACCCAAGGGGACATCTTAGTCTGAGAACCCCTACTTGATAGCTTTCTAGTGCAGTACATGTTCTCTTGGGGTTTAAATAAGCCTTTCAGTGCAAATAGTAGTAGTGCAATTATATGAGCAAAAGGAATGCATTATAGAGTTAGATTAACTTCAAGGATCTTTCAGTCTTTTAGCTTCAATCAGAGAAATAACAACAATTAATTAAAGTATTGGAATTATTGTAACAGAAAGCAACAAGTGTAGTCAAGGCCAACTAACTCAGTTGTACAGTAAATTACAATTCACAACAGGGTTTGTTAAACCCCTTGTCAATATTCAGAGCAATAAAAAAGTGCCATTAAAAAAACACCTCAGGAGATGTTTCAACCAAGGTCATTGAAGACTCATTTTTATGGTGACACTTCACAACAGGAATTTTCTCATGCATCCACCCTAATCTATAGCATTTCTGTGGATCAGTGAGCTCTGAACCATTCAAAGGATCATGGATGATGCTGTGGGGCATCAGTCTTTTGGACTGAGAAGAAGCAGATTCAAAAACCTGCTCCATTACTTCAGGGGTGATTCGTAAAAGTGTGTGCTGACAGGGCTGAGAGACTAACAGAAATAAGAGAATCTGTCACAGTCATGAAATTGCAGGTGTGCTGCCCGTTGGGACCTGCAAGCCTTTGAGCCTGAATTGCATTGGAGCACATGACAGCAATAAAATACAATGACAAGTGAGACAGTCTTTATATGGGGACTGAAAGCATAGCCAAGACAGGTTGCAGAAAAGCTAAATATGCTATGAGAACCAGGCCCTGTACCTTATACAGAAAATCATTTCTCCACCAATTCCATAAAGAAACTGCAAAGCAAGTTTTCACAAGATCTATACATTGAAAAGCTGCCAGCTGAAAGATTATTCTTAATATTTAACTTATCTCAGATCCTGATATAACTACTGATAATAGCCAGTTATTTTCATTGCAAATCTGCTTTACGTTAAATTCACTTAAAAGTAAATTCACAAAATATTCATTTGGGCTATTTCAAGTTAATAATAACAGTGGCAATTCGGAACATCACCTTCGTAATCTTTACATAAAGGATTTAAAGTACAGCAGCAGCCGGTTATGTGTTTTCCATTAACCCACTCTGTGCAAAGCCCCTTACTGTGAAATGTATTTACTTGAACTATTGAAATTACTGCTATGAGTTATAAAACAAATTATATTTCTCCCACAGAATAAAAACACTTTTATGCTACAACAAGTTTTAATGCAGTCTGCGTACATTCCATACTTAGATCCTCCTGTATCACATCTTTGATGCATTCTTACACAGATCCCAGCTGTGGCTATCCTTGCCTACTTGTCAAAAAAGCTTTTGTTTTTGTCCAAGAATTCTATTCGTGTTGGTATAATTAGTAAGATGACTATCTGCTCTCTAGATAAAATCATATTTTAAATAACTGTCAGTAAAAGGCCAAAGAATTAAAAATGTAAATTGTGCAGCAGTAAGGATTTAAAAGTAACAGTACAAAGTCTATCCACAGAATGGTTATGATATTACGAGTACAAAATAATAGAAAATGCTTCTGGGCGGATTATAACTGCTGAATTTTTCTATGACAAAATATTTCCATACTTTGAAGGACGTATTACTTTCAAATCACAGCACCCTGAGCCTTCAAAACTGAAATCCATTTCACCTTGATATGATAACCAACCTTTCAAATGACCTGACAACAGTTAAAACATCTTAGGGATCTTAATCACTGGCAGTAAAAATGCCACCCTGTTTAAGGGTAACAAATGCAAGTGGTGGTCTGGACATTGTTGAACAAGAGTATAGTGCTGATGCAAACACTTCAAGTTGTCTGCACAGCGTCAATCACCCATCAGGGCCAATGTGTCTGGCAAGTATAACTGACTTTTTGAATATAAGGTAAACGGCAGTGAAGGGCTGGGTCTGTATTATTGACCTGAAGTCCTGCCAACACGCAGTAGGGAAACCTTCTACACAGAAACCCAAATTGCCTTTTTTTTTTAATTCCTGCCAACCACAGGTAGTTTTCTACCTGTGGTTGGGGATACTTCAGATGTAACATTCAATCCCAGTTAAATTAAGTACATTTTACTTTTTATTAGAGTTTAAATAAGAAAACTGATTACAAATAAATGAGAAAAAAAAGTGATCAGGCCCTGATACACAAAATACAAAATACAATCAAACAATGTGAAAATGCTTTTTTTGTTCTTACAGACATTCATACTTTTGTTCTTACACATCTTCTTATATCCCTTTAAAAGAGATAATTCTGTAGTACTTCACGAAATGAAAAAGACACCTTTAACATTAACAAAAAATAAATTTTAAAGGAATCTGCTGAAGGGTTTATAAGGAACCAATTTTTAATTACCCTCCATGTATATTTCTGGTTGGACTAAAATAACAGTTCAAAATAATCTTTTTTTTATCCTGAAACTAGTGTAGCAAACTACAATTGCATTCCACTTATATTCATATTAAGGTGGATTGTGTATAAAAAATTACTCCTTTATAAGGCATGTGAATTCCCTCTGGTGCCTCAGTAAGGCAACAGAGACTAAATGCATTAGTCCAGATGTTCCTGGGGTTAGGTTGTCTAGGACAAGAATGTAGACCACAACCCCAAACAACGTCACTCTCATCTGAAACCTAACCCTCCATGGTGAGGAAGACAAGAGTAGAAGCAGTCTAATCATCCCAGTAATTAAAAACAGAACAAAAGTGGTGGTCCAGTATTATCATTAAAGCATCAAAACCACAAAGGAATATCCTATAACATGACAAAAGAAAAAAGTAGCTTAACTGAAGGCAAATAGCCTCAACAGACAGCCACTGGGTAATTTGCAAACTATTCCTTTCAACTCCTGTTCAATCAATGGAAAAAGACATTCAAAAATGTCTTGAATCACAGAAATGAATCCTTAGTACAAGAGTATAATTGTGTTTTGTTTGCAATTTAGTGTCTAGAACTGTGCTATTCAAACAAAGTTACTGGACAAAGTGCTGTAAAACAATACTGGAACTGAAGGTTAAATATGATTGAAAGAAAAGTACGAAGTTTTTGTTATGCTTTTGGAAAAGGTGAATTAAAATGAGTTTGAAATAAAAAGATTAATAGTGTGTTTACTAGAAATAAATCTAAAACAATTCATTTTGATACTGCACTCAGGTCACGAGAGGAACAGGACTATCTACTACATTAGGTTTGACAATGCAATAACTAAAATGTTACTCATACCTTGAACTAAGCAGAGTGGGACAGGACTTCAAAGTTGTATCTAATATTTTCTGACGTTGACTAAATTTAACTACCGCTCTGTAAACTCTAGAAAAAACGCAGGGCTATTCTATTTTTTTCTTAAAGTGATTAGTCACTTAAAATGAGCAAAAATATGCTATGAAACATTACTGACTCACAAACTTTTTCACATGTTTCAAAAAATTGTTCCTGTTATTTCATTCATATACTGTGCATCAAATAGCACATGGCATGTAACGGCAACACATTCACAAAGTTATTATTAGGAAAATTACAGTCTTTTGTTGCATGTGCACTGAAATTTAATGAATAGACCAGGACAGACATAAATTCCACTGCAAGTTACAGTTGCTTATGTGGCCACTGCTGGAATTAATACAGAATTGACATCTGCAACACATACTTTGAACCAGGCTGCAGACACGGTCTTCTGTCCAATTTCTCTTTTAAAGCCTACACAAACACATGACTAGTTTCTCAGTTCTAGATAGCACACCTTTCCCAGCTGATCCCTCAAATGTTCAGTG